AAGTAGTCGAACTGCCACGTCTCGAGGAAGCGAGAGCCGTTTCGCAGCCGGAGTGATAAAGAGAAATCTTTGTCGGGAGTAAATAATAATTGGAAAAGCGATTGCCAATATTTCATTCCGTCCGGTTATTTTACATAAATATTATTATACGTTGGACATTAACATTATTTGCGCCGTTCTCTCCCACGGAATAATGAATAAATTAAATAAAGACCGCGCGTGTTTGTTTTTTGTCGAATCAAGTTGTATTTCTCGCAAAAGTGTTTCACCGCGCGGTGATTACTCAGCTGTTGCAAAATTGATTGGAATCCCCGCGGCATTTAACGTGTTAAATCACTGAAGCCTGAACGTAACATGAAACACTTTGTGTTCGCTGCGTGGCCGCACGGCGACTGATTTCTTTATCCGTTGCATCGAGCGACGCAGGCACGCATCGCGACACACCGGTACGGCATTTGGAGTCACGTAGCGCGGCGTAGCGATTTTGACAGTCGCGCATGGTCCCACCATGATGAATGAAGGGCTCGCGGGGGTAATCGACGTTATCGTAAATCTTTCGTGTCAAGCCCATTGTGGACGATTCGCTTGTCGTCCGTGTCGATGTTGGTCGCGGGCGAGTGCCGATCGGCCCACGTGAGGTCAGATCGCTATCGTCGTCGTGGAACTGGGACGAATTCGATTCTTAATTCCGATCCTCGCGTGAAGCTTGCGTGTGTGTGCCGGTGAAATTGTGCCCGAGCAAAATTCGCGTCCTCGCATCGAATCTTTTATCCTCAGGTTCGATTGTATCAAGTTGTCATTTGAAATGTTTCCAAATTGTCGCACAAATTTATTTTTTTTTTTTTTTTTTTTTTTTTATTTAATGTTGGGCGAACGAAAATATCTGTTTTAGAAAACGGATATAGAACTTTTTCGACCGTCAGGTCGGGTCTATGATTTCTGCCTGAAGCTTTCCGTACTTCAGGTTATTACTTCTATTCCCGGAACGCGAATGTTAGATGGTTATCGTCGACAAGGAACGAGCAGACACCAAGGTTAGGCGCGATCGCGCTCCCCCTTTTCTCTCTCTCTCTCTCTCTCTCTCTCTCTTTCTCTTTCACCCCGTCTGCATATCGATTTAAAACACCCGCAGAGCGCCTTACCGTAACTCATGGCAAAATCGCGTTACGGCGTCCGTGCCTCGCAGATCATTTCTCTCTCTCTCTCTCTCTCTTTCTCTCACCCTTTTTCTCTCTCTCTTTCTCTCTCTCTCTCTCTTTCTCTCACGCCTTCCCGCCCGTTCCGCGAAACGTAGATATTAACGACACCCGGTAGATCGTAACTTTGTCACCCAACAAGAGGGAACGGGGTAACGCCCGACCGTTCTGGTAAGAAGAAACGGCGCTTTAAAGGGCGCTTTAGCCAGTGCGCCGTCAGCTAATTGCATGCATTTTTAACGTCGAGACGTCTTAATCGGCAAGCTGTATGATGGAAACGCGTGCGTTTAAAGCTTTACGCTCGTGGGCACCCTCGGGGAAAACGATAGGGAAGGGTCGGGATAAGCGCGTATAAACCGGCAAACGCGGAGTGTGTCGTCTTCAAGGGATGGAAAACGCACTGACGATAACGTTTTAGCACCGTCGTTATAAGTAAACGCAGGTATATTGCGGGATATTTTCTTTGCCAGAATATATATTTCAAATATAACGGAATAATTCAGTAATTCGATCAATTATTCAAACTTAAAATATCTTTCAAAATGCCGTATTTCTCCGTATGTTAAAATAACGAAACGACGTGTGTAATAAAAAAGAAAACATTCTCTGCAACGTCTGAGTATGAGAATGTCTGCGTGTGTCGCGAGGAATAGCGGTAAATTCGGCGACCCATATAAATCGCGATTTTCTCGCAAACGTCCGGGAAGGAGGAGGAGGGGATTTAACGGACGTTGATGTATTGACAGAGTCCTGCGGCCGCTCGCCAACCATCCGCGCGGCGTGATTAACGCCGTGTCTGTCGTCCCGGTTCCGCGAGATGGGAACTCGCACACAAGGCCGCACAATGATACACACAAGTTCAACAATATACGATTTCACACAGGTTTTTGAATAACTTTACGTTACGTTGTATAATTGATCATATTTGTTCTAAGTGGCAAAACAAAATTTGATGATTCTCGCGCGGAAAAAGGTACGATGTGTAGTATCTCGTGCGGAAGATGCATCGAGCGAAAGCAACGAGCGACACGCACGAAACGCTTGACGAGGCGCGCTCGCCCGGCAGCCTCGTTGGCGCTCATTACTCTTTGGCGGCCGCGTCATTTGTCTCCCGAGAATAATCGACGAGAACGTCGAGCCGGGGCGAACGTGCCCGCATCGAACGAAAGAAGAGAGAAGAGGAGCCGGCGCGAAAGCGGACGCGAGAAGAAACGAGACGCAAAAGCGCACACGGATGTGTGTGGTAATGGGTCCGGGCTCTCTCTCTCTCTCTCTCTCTTCCTCTCGAGCGCGGAGCGAACGAGAGCGGACGGCCGGAGGAGAGCCCCGCAATTATGTAATCGCTGTGTCATTGCGTTAAAGTAATTCCATTAGCTGACGAAGGCCTGGCCGCCGACAACGAGATGTGCAGCGTCGTCTCCGCGTTCCTCATGCCGGTTCTCGACCCGCCTGTCGCCGCGGCCTCTAACGTACCTACCTACGTACGTACGTACGTTATCGACGAGATGTGCGAGGTCACATTCTCACCTTCTCGCCGATCCGTTGTGGCTACTCTCGCGCGCCGACGGTTCGACGGGCAAGTCAATTGTATCGGTTGATTTTAATGCGCTCGACAATCGCCGAGTCACGTCGTGAACTGAATTCACGCGGCCGATTCCGTCGTGGATCTCCGTGCCATCTCCGAATCTTAATCGTGACACTCTATCTTTCGCGATCCATGCAATGCGATCATTTGATACAACAAAGTGGCGAATTTTAATTACGTTTCTTCTGTAAATTTTTTTTTGTAATAATTATAAATTCTTTATTTTTTTTTATTTTTTTTTTTTTCAAGTCACTTTTATCTTCTTGAGTGCAAACGGCACGCGTGTGATCAATGCACGCGTGTGTTAGAGAGCACGAAAAATTTGCCATACACATATCGTATAAGTTTTAGACAGCGCTTGACATTTTTTATGCCTTGAATAATAATATACAAGGTCCGTCGACTTCTTTATGCCACCTCAGCATGATTTTCACGCGACAAGAGCCGCCACGAGATTTAAAACTCGCTACGCGCGCGCGCGAGAGAAAGAGAGAGAGAGAGAGAAAGAGAGGTACACGGTGATCGGCGAGGGCAAATCGCGTCGGTCTCGCGCGCACGGGAATCGGCTACAAAATCGGCCTTCTCTTCCCGAGTCTGCTGCGCACCATGGAGTCCGCGATTAAATCTCCGCACGGCCGATGTCACCTCCGCTCGCGCGCGATATGCGACGAAGGAATCCTTGACAGGAGGTCGCCGGATCCCCCCCGGTGGCGCATGAATCACCCGGCGAAGTCGCCGCGTCTTGTCCTGGGACCGGCGTAGAAGGTGACAGCTGTCAAGTGGCTGCTATACGAACGACGCAGCGTGTAGTACGGCCGCGATGTGTAGGTGGTACGTGGGGTCCCCACGTGGAATCTCGTACGCGTCGTACATGTCCGCCTGTCGCGACGTGGCCGCGCGCGCAATGACGCGCACGTTAGAAAGAAAGAGGACGTATGTATATTATCGGTCGTATAAGATTGGAAAGATCGAGGACACCCGAAACGAGCCGACGAAAGCTAAGGCCAAATGCCGGCCATACCGAAGAAGATGAGGAAGGCCGATTGTCTATGGTCAATTATGTCGTTCTCCTTCTATAAATCACAAAGGAATACGAATAGGTTGACGTAACTGTCGATGCGTAATTATGATAGACGCGGTAGTAGTTCTTTTGCGCGGAAAAGACAGGAAGATCGATTGACACTCGACTAAGAAATGTTGTATTTTTTTCTTCTTCTCAAAGAGAAGAAAAAAATGTTAATGTAAAACATATTTTTGTATTTTTGATATGAAAACTAAAAGCACACTACACGCGAATTATTCACACATGAAAGTGTAATTTCACAATACGTCAATTAGCATAGCGCTACAATATGTATGAACGTTGTAATAACTGTGAGAGTTATTCAAATAACTTTCAATACTTTCGAATATTATCGTTAGATGATTTTTGTCAAAAGAGAATAAAGTAATTTTATTTAAAAAATGGCACAAAACATTGCGTAAACCGCGTAAGAGATTACACAGCGTGTTCGGCTTGACGAGCAAAATCAACAGTGATGAATTTATCACGAAACGGCGCCGATCGAGACTTCGCGCAGATCTCTAAGCTAAACAGCGAATTCGGTAAGCTGCACTCTGATTGCGACTTTCAATAGACTTCTTCCATTCTAAAATGTTTTAAAAAGAGAACATTGTATATATTGAGCGTGTACTTTTTAATCTTTTTTTAAAAAGATAGTGACTAAGGTCAGTGACCTTACCGTAGTATATATATAATACATATAATACAATATACGGTATAATATTATAAATATATAATAATTATATATGTAATATATATTATATATATATATAATATTATATATAATATTAGTACATATATTATATATTATATTAATATATAATATATAATTTATAGCCATCACGGAAAACCAAACAGCAAAATGAAATAAAGAAACTTTGGAATAATAATTGTCAACTCGAGGTTTGTTATCGCAAAGTTTGTTTTTCAATAAGTCAACTGCTTCTTCGAAATCTTGTTTGTATCTGTCTTTTCAAGACAGTTGACAAATATATTGAAAAACTTGCGATAACAAACCACACACACTTCCGTCTTACGTAACGTGCAAATATGACTGTCATCATTTTTTCATTTCATACATCATCATCAATAACACATACATAATTTTGTCGCGTATAAATACTGTCGATAGTTTTATGTTTTAATTAATGTCGCTCGAGTTGTTGCATCGAACAGTTGAAGTAAACTACTCGAAAAGCATCAAAATGAAGACTATCTTATTAGTGATGTGTGTCGTGGTAAGTTATACAAATCTATAAACAGATTTTAAGAATTAATTTTTGAATCTGTTCCAAACACACACACACACACAACACAATTGCTTGTATATTTTTTATCGTTACAGTTTTACATTCATTTTTCTTTAAAATTTTCTTATCATTACACATTTCTTGCTTCTATATCACATGCGTGCAGACGTTACTTTATTAACTTTACTTGATATTCCTGCATTGTTGTAAGTCAATAAAATTATTAACTTTAGATATATTTGAAAATGATCTTATTAATTTGTTCATTTAATCAATCATAATGTATTTTAAAAAACCACAAAAATTTTAAATTTAACAAAAAAAACCTAGAAACATAATTATATATGATTTTATATATATACATATGTGTAAAACTACTGCTCATATCGTCTAAATTTCGGATCAGATCAGATCAGATCACATATGAATCACATCTTAGATCTGACAAAATCTGATCGCATCGACTTAGTTTTAAAAATTGACGCAATATAATTGCATTTATTTTTACGTGTATAATATTATTGTTGCATCGTAATAAATATGATAATATGCTTCTATTTTTTTGTGGATACATCGTTTGTGTGTAATTCTTTCATTAATTTTAGGTACTCACTCACGCAATTTTAATGCGGCATCCATTTTATGACAACGCGGAAGCCTGTTTAAAAGATCTTTCGTCAAAAAAAAAGTTTTTACATTTCAGCGTTGTCGAAGCACTTCAACCAACTTTTTCTATCAATCTTGAGATTTCTAAAATCATCCCGAGTAAGTGCTGAACATTATATGTGACTTAAAGTTAATAATTGGAAGATCAGTTCACTTTACATAATATTGAATTGTTGCATATAAAACAGTTTTATTCATTAATTGAAAATAATTTCGGTAGATATACACAAAAAGCAATCACTATTAGTTCCGATCTAATCAAATATTAAATAATGTCTCTCTTTTTATGTTGTAGAAAACATCTCGAATGCTACCTTGGTCGATGTTTTTATCTGCGCACTTAAGAAAGATGGTCTAGTACGTTTTTTATTTATATATGTGTATGAGTTTATAAAAGAATACTTAATTATATATTTCTTTACATAAATATTTAAAAGAATAAAAGATTTTGCTGATTACAATGTGAAATGAACTAACACTATTTTCAATTGCAAGAGTACAAAAATTAATAAGTAAAAATTTATTACAAATAATTTAATTTACTCGAATAGATTATCAAATAAAACATGAGATAAACTTTATAAACGTAAAAACAAGTACATACGATAAATTAACTTATACAAACCTAATTTCTGAATAGTTTGTTTTTCTATAAAATCGTTTTTTTAATTCTTTTCGAACAAGTATAGAATAAGTTACTTATTATACCAATTCTAGATCACTCCAGAAGGATTGAGTAAAAGTGGAGAAGAACAATATTGTTCACAAGTTTTAACGAAACCTCAGAATATAATGGAATGTCAAAAAATTATCAAGCACTGCACTGATTTAGGTAATCCAATATATCTATACATATATAACTATCTATCTATCTCTCTCTCTCTTTATATATATATATCTATACATATCTTACTTCTTTTCTTTATTTTGAAAAAATCTATGTTTTTGTAAAAAATATTTAACGTGTAGTGATGTGTCGTTTTCACTATTTATTATTATTTGAAATATATCAGATGTGATGTCTTATTAGATGTACAATATTCTTGTTAGTTGTATCGGAAAGTCCGAAAGTCTGAAAAGTCTCAAATATCAAAATTACTCATTTTTGCGTAATAGAGGCACGGAGTGCTCGCTCCGTTCGTGTGCGACTTCATTGCGCGTGAACTTGGCGCGAGGCACTATCGTTTCTCTTGATTTGTTTTCAACATAATTTTGTACAAGTTTTTCTCGTTCTTTGTTGCAGAATGCACACAGAATGCAACAATGTGTACATATCCTGAGGAGGTAATAAAAGATATGACTTGTAATGTAATGAATGGAATAGCGTTGACTCTTGAGAGTCCACTGCATATTATTGGAGGATCCATTATGTAGATACAGAATGAGGTATATAAAAAGAAAATTGCATGAGCATTTATTATATTGGAAGTCTTAGATATTTGGAAGAAGTATTGGATGATAAAGTTAATATTTGAAAAATGTTCTAACAAAAATACTAACAATGTATAATTAATAAAGCTAATAAATACATGGAATTACATCTACATGAATAATATGTTTTCCCGAATATATATATACATAGAAATCTCATAGAATTTCCCGAATATATATTAATAGAATAATTTTATATGTAAAATTATTCT